CAGTGGCCAATTTTTGGAAAACCCTGGCCAAAAGTAAAAAAAAAAAAATTGGTGCATTCGTATGCATAACCATCTTATATAGTTAGGAGGGCTCTACTGCGTATCGTTATGAGACAACAAGTCGATTCTCTTCCTGTAACACACAGGAGATCGAAGTGACTGCTGCTAGCAATTCGCTCTAAACTTTTCGTAAATTAGAGTTTTTGTCGTTGTTAAAATCGTGGTATTATCTTTAAAAAAATAACAGTTTTCAAGCATCCGCTCATGGACATTGTAATCTAGAGTAGCGATGGGCATAATGTGCACATACGGGCAAAATGCCCAAACGTGAAAACCGCGGGCAAATGTGCATACCTTTGGGTAGATGAGGTGTGGTAATTATGCCCGGGGGTGAAACAGACAAATTTGCGCGAATTGCATCTGTATGTGTGATCGGAATGAGAGAACAAGTATATGTGAGTACTCACGAATTTGAGACCCCATGGCTGCCAACTTTCCTAAAAGCACCAAAACTTTGGACAAATCAAAACATGAAAAATTTTTTTTTCAGTAAAATTTAATATGCATCTATACTACATTAGTGATCGGTCCAAGATATAAGTATTGTTGTATTTATCAAAAACCAAAATAAATAGTAACGCACTANTTAGTGCGTTACTAAACGATTTTAAACTTTTATAGAACCAATTGAATTTTCGCTTTAATTCAATCAGGATATATATTTTATTTGAAACAATGCATTTATACACATATGTATGTACATACTTATGAGTATAAAAAGATTTCGTATCCAGAATAAAATGCACTAAATAAGCACTGAACATGGCGGGAAAGGTATACTAATAGTAGCCGTCATCGATTTTCCACTTCTCGCTCGCTATGTTTGAGTTCCGGTCACTTAAAGAAGAATTTTGCATGTGAAAGCAACAACAAAGTTAGCTAGCAGTGATAGACGATAGCGAGTTTGGTTGTACCTCATTGAGTTCGTTCGTTTCGCCACTCGCTAACTGTTGGCGAATCGATGACGGCTAATATTATATAGTTGTCGAATATTTTTAGGTATCTTCGGCTCAGCTAACATGAAAAAAGCTGCATGTATGCATATCTATATATTTTTGATGATTTGAAGATTTTAATTTTTAACGATGCAAAGCGGATTCATGCGGCTAAAAAATTCCGTTGATTTTTGAGAATTTTTTTGGTTAAAGGTGTTTTACGTTTTTTCCATACAAAGTATGTCGACAATTTTCTTTTATATGGAGGACACTGCCAGCAAAAAAATTGCCAAAAATCAACGGAATTTTTTAGCCGCTTGAAACTTGCACTTCTTCAGACTAGAATTGAATGTGCTACAAAACTGCATACCAGAATTTTTTCTAAAGATTCTGATTAAATTTGGGTGAAAAATTGCAAAATTTTTATAATTTTTATACAAAGTTTAAAATCTGAATTTATATGGTGTTTGTTGTATAGCCAGCTAGGCTTTTATAAAAAAATAATAAACATTAAATAAACAAAAGACAAATAGCCAAAACTGGTCCAAATATCGCACTCCTATTATTTTGTGGACAACTGTACCTACATATATACTGCTGCAAATAATTATAAACTCAAAGTGTTTTTAAATGCAACGCAAAAATTTTAAAACTAATTGATGGATTTACATAGTCTCATAAAATTATAAGTCCGAAAGAAAAAAACTTAAAAAATTACATAGTATGTTATACCGTTAATACGTACCGAAAGTACAGAAGTCACAGTTGTATTTTTTTAATTCCTTTTTCTATGCTAGACAACCACAAAATCTTTAAACAAAGCTAGTTCTCGCGTCACTACGTGAATATTCAAAGACTTTTACAAGTACCCGCTAAAAATTTACATACATATTCATGCCAATGCAGGCCACGCTCAACTACTGGCCAACCGTGGTGAGCAGTGTTGCCATTTTAACGACTTTTCCACTCAGCTAGCTTTTAGCGATTTTATTCATAATCAGGCATGGGCAGAGAACTTTTAGCTAACGCTTGTTTGTGGTAGTGCCGACCTCTGTTCATAATGATCGCAATTTATTACATTTACATTTTGCAGTCCAAAAAATCAACATTACATCCAAGGTGTATTAAACAAGGTGTGATTGACAACTCAGTGTGGCTCTCTTTTAAGGTACTAAAATGTCAAAAAACACAAACAACAATTTTTTCCAATTTGACATTATAGGATCGTTCTTACGAGAGAAATGTCAAATTCAATCACACTTTGGTAAATACATTTTGATTAAATCAACAAGCTCAACAGTCACGAAAACGAAGACGACATTCTTATGACCAATTTTTATACTTTATTTAATGCCACAAAATCCCAACACTGGTTATAAAACCATATAACGAAGTTCCAATTTTGTTTTTGTTAATAAAACTGGTGGGTTTTTATAAACTTATGATCTCTAATTTTATCAAATAAAGTTTAACTGCTAAATTATAAAAGAAACTTTTTTTCATAAGAGTTTACAGAATTTAAATGATTTAGCAGGATTCTAGCGATTTTTGTTTATTAATCTGGCGGGACCGCAGAAACTTGCTTGCGCGCACATAAGCTGTTTTGTAATTCACTTTTGCATTGTCAGCGTTCAGTTGGTCGCAAATTTTCAAAGGGGGGGTTGTTTTTGCGCAGATAATTTTTCTTTAGAAATTTGTTAGGAAACAAGTAATTTTTAGCAAAAAAAAACCGACTCAACTCATATAAAAAAATATATATATATATATCTCATGATTCACTGATCGGATCTTAACCAGAGACGTGGTCCAAAGTTATGCGGTAACATACAAATAAAAAATTATATATATTCCGACGAACTGATAACCTCCACCTTTTTTGGAAGTCGGTTAAAAAAGAACAATCCTTCGCAAAACAACCTTTTTATATGACGGTTTTCTACCGACTGAGCCTAGTAGCAGCGCTCTGCTTTCTTATTTACGAACACATGCGCAAGCAAGATCGTTAACACGTTATTGTTCGCCAGTATGAATTAGCACATACTATTTTTTACATATGTATAATCAATTTAAATTAAATTGGTCGGCATTTCATGATGTTGAATTATTTTTAATAAATATACTACAAATATAGTTAGAAATTGTTCCTCTATAAACAAAGAGGTGAATATAATAGCCTTTGGCAATATACATTGCATAAAATGGGTTAATACACGTACACGACTATTGCTTAACCTTTCGGTTTTAAATTTTTACCCCGCATCAAGCACCTGCTTGCCCACGCTGCTGCGCGCGAGCTGTTCTGCCGCCCATCCCTAACCTAGAGTATGTAAAACATGTTTTTTCATTGTCACGCCATCTAAAAACTGACGTAAGACATAGATATTCACGGATTGATTTTTTTGTTTACTCATTATGATGGATTAGGAAAATAGTTACGAGAGTGGTCGAGATGGGCGGTCTAATTTTCTTTTTCATATATATTGAAGTTTCTCCCATCCACCTTGGTTAAAACCACCTGCCACAAGCCGCCACTGTAGTTTGGCCATCAGTTTTTATACGCGATTCTTAATTTTTTTATGTTTAAAAGATTTAAATTATGTAAAAAATTATTTGTGTCATGATTTTGATGCTTTAAAGATTGGATGTTCTTAGAATTCAAATGATGTCAGAAAGTGCTACTATATTAGAGTGCTCATCCATGGGCCTCTCATTATTGAATGGGCACCCCTGCCAATTGGCCCAAGCCCAAGAGCCAAGGAATAAGGATATTAAAAAATATCGGCTGCTGTATCCTCGGACCCTGTCATTTCAAGTTTACGTTTAAACCCACTAAAACAAAATCATAAACTGTCGTCAGATGCCATTAAATTATTATCAACTGTTCTAAATGCGAATGCGGAATTGCCATCAGAAAATATAGATACGAGCTTGGATACTTCAGATGACTGCGAGTCTGACGGTGTATAAAATTGTTATCTTAAAAATATATTCCTGTATGTCTTGTTTATTGATTCATTCAAAATCCCGCAGTTCCCGTGTAAATTTGAACATCAAGATTTTTAGAAACAAACATTAAGACCAAAGTGGGGGACCAACAGTTTTATGCCGAATCCGAACGGGGATTTTCTTTTTATGAGCATCTGTTCTTCGTGGCTGAATACACTCGGGGTTTGCCCTTGCCTGCCAAAGGGCGACTTTATTACAAAAAACTTGTTTGTTTCTTATTTTTTGATGTTGGTCGGAAACTGGGCTTGAACCCACGCCCTGCGGAATGATAGCGTATATTGCTAACCGCTACATCACATTATATAACAAAAAAGCAGAAAACATGACCTTTTATACTTAACTACCTTAGTTTCGACGTACTATACGTTTACGTTATTTTAAACGTACACAGCAGCCATTATGGATCCGCCGTTTTGAATTTCGAAATTATGTGGTGAAATTTAAAACCAGCAACAAAAATAAAGACTTATAGACAAGGTTTGATTACAATTGTACCATGCTTCGACTTTTGTCCAGCTTTTTCGAAAAATTGGCCACTGTGCAACGCTAAAGAAGTTTCACTTCAAAAATCAAATATATTAATGTAAAGTAAGCAGGTGTATTTTTTATATCCAGTTAATTTGGAAAATTTCTGTACTTTATTACTGTTAGGGTTTAAGTACATTTTACTTCACGCAATCGTCCTCTGATCGGTCAAAAAAGCTTTAGAACAGTCCTGCCCAACGTTGGCAGATCTCCATAAGCAAGTGCCCTGCGCTGGCAGAATTCCATATGCAAGTGCCGGGCGCTGGGCATGACTGCTTTAGAATTTATCTTTTAAGGGGTAGGAGCGGCTTTTCTTGTTGTTGTAACAGCAGTTACAGTAGTCAATATGAGTGTACATATGCACATACTTTTCTTTTTATATTTCGTTAGTTGGCTCTCAAGAAAGCACATGTTTATCGAAGTTCTTAGAATATCTAATATGTATGTGTGTACATGCAAAGTTCACCATGAACTTACATTTATTTTTTCATTTTACTTATAGGTTAAAACATTTTATTATTTTTTTAAGTGAATAATCGGTATAGAAATTAATTTACCAAAAAGTGCCGAAGTATAAATTAATAAAACGGAAATAACTTAGAAAATAAAATAAAAAATGTCTGAAGAAATCGATCGCAACGATCCCGAGTTAAAATATCTTTCCGTCGAACGGAGCCAATTTAATGATCCGGCAACGCAGGCCGAGTGGACACAGAAACGTCTTGTGTGGGTGCCTCATGAGAACCAGGTATGTATTGTATCAATATTCAAAAGTCTATTAGTATGTACTGTAGCAATAGTTAAGCAACAGATATCTTCTATATACTTATTTCTAAAAGGTATTTTTCTGTTACCAAATGACATCTCCATTAATATTTTATAAAATTTGATGAATGATATCTCATTTTGAAGGGGAGAAGCTCACGTACATGCGCAAAATAGTCGCGTTGGTCAAGTTTAGTTCTTTTTTAAAAACAAGGGGTTTCCATCAAACTGAATGATTGAAACACCATTTTGAAGGACAGCTTCAACGGTTGAGCAAAATCATAAAAACTTTTTAATAGGGTTGCCACCCGCTTAAAATTTTAGTGACTTAATTATATATCGAGTAAAATATTGCAACGCATTCAGGGAATGAAGGGCATTTATATGAACACTTAACCAGAACGAATAATTTTGAAGAGGGTTGCCAACTATTTAAAAATTTCAACATCTACATACATACATAGCCGATTTTTGTCATTCCTCCGGCGTTCGGCGCCTAAGGAATTTTGTACAAAATTTTCATGATGTATGTACATTGAAATACATCGTTTGAAGGAACTAAATACTACTCGTTTAAAAACACAATTTTACGAAATGAAAATTACTTTTTTAAAGGAGTTTTTTTTTGCATAATTTGGGCCACTGGACAAGAATATGATCTCCTTTATTTTTCCAAAAATAGCGTAACTCGGAAAAAACATAGGTAACATATTTTTCGATCGAAAGCGTTTATTACAGTTAAATTAGGGTCGAATACTAGTAATCTAACGATTTTTGTCCGCAGTAGACAACTCTTTTCAATACTACAACAACAAGAAAGTTATAACACATCAACAACTTTAACTCCAATATCTCAGAAAGCAGTTTTAACCGAAGCAGCTTCTGTTCATCGTAACTCATTCCATCTAACTCCTCAATTATTAGAGATAAAACAAAGACAAGTTGATTTTCCTGAGTATTTTTTTTTATTTTAAACAGACTTTAAATAAAGAGCAAACACTTTTTTTGCTAAATTTTTACATTCGTATGTTATTTTATTCTGGGGTCCCACATACGTATACAAGAACTAGGTGGCTGTGTGAAAATTACGTTAGCATTCCTTAATGGTGGTCAAACCCCAGGAAGGTTTTGCTCCCTCGCATCGCAACGTTTTCTACAAAGGGTAAAAGTTCACCCTTTTTGGTAAAAATTAGTATTATTTTTCATTACATTCGGTTCTCCTTAGAAAAATTTGACGCTTAATTTTTAGTGGAATTTTAACCATCTATAAGCCATTTTTTTAAACAGTGGGTCAAAAAGACCCGTTCTGGTTCGAGTTGATGGGTTAAACTTGTGGAAAAAAGTAGACCAACAACCTTGTTTTCAATATGTAATCCGCAAAAAATCGTAAGAACTCCGTAATTTAACATAACGGTTGATAAGATTATTGCAAAAATTTATTGATAGCGACATAAATTATCCCAATAATTTAACTTTGCCAATTTTTTATTTCTTTAAATTTAAATAGTACATACAGATCTGTCCTGCAGAAAAAAATTATCAATTGGTAAAAAATAACCCAGTTGTAGTTAGCTTTATTGCGGGATTTCTATAAAATATATAACTTGTAGTTAGCTACAACAAGCTAGCTTGAAACTAGTTGACAAGTAATGCAGGAGTAATGAAGGAGATTGTTTTCTTTAAAGGCGTTTGGACAAACGCGTTGAGGACAAGTAAAAGGAAGATCGTAATTTTATATTATCATTTTGAAGGTATGTCTGACGGAGTTCGAATATGGGACCACCTACAGCAGAATATGAAAACAAATATGAAATGTGATCAAGTNAAATAAAAAAAAAAAAAATTAAATAAAAAAAAAATATTTTGTTTTTCCTGTTGATATTTTATGTCCAAAAGTAGTTAGTTACAAATTAGTTACATCTAATGCAGAGGTAAACCACCCTTGACTATTTCGCGGCCATCGCCATGGAAATATAGTTATCTTTCGTCAAAGAAAATATACAGATAATAAGTGACTTTTAGCTCCTTCCTAATCAACTTAAAGTTAGCTTATAGTTAGATACATTTCCTGCAGGGTGTAGAGAACATACAGAGCCATGTGTGTGTGTATGTATAGACCTCAGACCTTCTTCTGTTCGCCCATCGTAATTTAATTTTAAAACTAGTTCAATGAATTAACTAAATATAATTATAATCTGAATTGGCGATGGTGAATGCCTAACGCTGGACGAGATGACATGATAAGATTAGTAGCCTCATGCCTCTTTGGAATCTACCTTATGGGCAGTAGCGCCGGCGTTTCCAGACGCGCCAGCGTCGATTAACGTTTTGAGTTTATGAACCACTGTCAAGTGCTCTCATTGGGGTGTTTAAGAAACTCAGAGCTTAATTTGACATTTGTTTGTGTACTTTTTTTTATTCACATTTAGCCTGTTCCCGTACTCCAGGGTTTAGACAGAAAAAGTCCGAAGTAGCCATGGCGCAGAACAGTGCTTCTTAAAGTGGGTTCCGCGGAACCCAAGGCATCCGTAGAAAAGTAACCAGGATTCAGCGAAATTAACTTTGCGATGAATAAGCACGGCGCACTTTGGGCAATATTACGATCATGAATTTGTGTGTAGATAGTCGTAAACCATTTAAATTTAAACCACGCATTTTTAATTTTTGTATCTCATTTGGTTCCCGAGATATAGACCCATATGTTGACATGGAAATCATAACAAGTACACTTTCTGGTTAAATGGAAAGAAGATATTTTACTATTGGTATTAAACCCAGATTACCCTTTATTGCCATAAGAAAAGTATATAAAAACACGCTAATAAAACAAATTTTCAATAGTATACCAAATTGAGCTTTGAAAAAAGCGTATCGTTTTCTAAAAATTATTGATTAAAAATAGTATATGTTTACGTATTAAAAATACATTTATCAAAATACTTAATTTATTTGCGGTTTCAATAGCTTCACAATCTCGAATGAATTCACTTATTTTCGACAGGCTTCTTTGGTGATTCTTGCGTATGGCTTACGAATGCTTGTTATATATGGATCTAATGTATACAATAATGTACGGAAGATATCTTCGTTTGTCGCCAATCATGAGTGTTTTCTTGCGTGATGTAGTCTAAATTTCATGTAGTTTTGTTGCGGGACTCTTGTGCGTGTTCTAAAAGTTGTCCGATTGGTAATACAGCAAAATGTTTTATAACACTCTCTCCATGGATCAATAGCTTAGGCACCGAGGATGTCATATAATACCAGTTGTACTTCTTGACATATATTCTTGCTGTTTCTAATGCATAAACGCCAAACTTTTCAGCATCAGTCATAACACCCGAAGATAAAGTTTGTAGAATGATATACAGTCTGTGTATAAGCACTTCATCAACTCCAGTTATTTCAGCAGACCAAGTGGTATTCGAAAAAAGAGTTATTCGAAGAGTTGGTTATTTCCATCGATGAATCAGGTGGCAGCATATTTATTTACATCTCTGTATTTTGTAATATGACGGCAGCAGAAAACATTTCCTTTCATTCGTTAGGTTCCTCAGGTACAGCTACTGTGCTTTTGTAAGATCTAAATCAATATAGGCGCTTAAAGCTTCTTCGGATAATATTGCAGCATTGCATGACTCAAACGTTCTAAGACAGTTTTCTTTTTTTCGGAATCTGCCGTCCTTATAGCTTCCACAATATTAGCTTCAACTCTTTCACCCATAGATCGCAGTCCTTGCAAATATGACTTCCGAAACTTGATATTTTTCCCTTAAAAATGTGGATAAGGCCGTTACGTTCTTACGTTTTCTATATAAGCAATAGTGGACGTTTTGGAAAACTTGAAGAACTCATTACTTCAAATTTATTGCTTCTCGAAAACAAGCTTCTTTATTCTAAATAAGTAGTTCCGAACTTTTGGGGAATACGCAGTAAACTGCCCGTATCAGCATGCAGATATTTCTTAACCATTGTGAATACTAATTTTCCACAGTTCCAGTACCTAGCAGGTAATCGGACATATATTTTCTCGAAAACGAGCGCCCATATTCTAGATGTATTCCTTACCCGTTGTATTGGTACCTGTAATTCACAATGGTTAAAAAACATCTGCATGCTAATATGGGCAGTTTACTATGTTTAATATGGCAGTTTACCAAGTTCGGCGAAACACTAACATATGTGTAAGCGCCAATCTATTATTATTAGGTGGATTTTTCGTGCTTTTAATGAATTCAAATTCAAACAAGCGGAGAAAACCTTCGAATCCATTATCGAAATAAAAAAAACGAAACAAAGTTTGTGTTTTATTACAGAAGCTATTGCTGCAACCTGTTATTTCAAAATAAAATATTTATAGCTAATTTTAAATCTGGATATAACTTGTAACTCAAGTCCGTATTACTTAATAGGCCCTTGCTAGGAAAAAATTCCTAAACTGAGGATCTGAAAATTACTGCGTTGCGAGTAAAAATTCCAACAATTTCTTCTTCAACTTCTTAAGCAGTTTTCACTTTTTTCATTAAATAAACATACACCGCTGTGTGTAGTGGTAAGCAATGCGCGCTTCCACCCCGCTGCGCCTGGGTTCGAGCCCTGGTCAAAGCAACATCGAAAAAGAATATAGAAAAAAGGTATTTTCTTAACAGCGGTCGTCACTCGGCAGGCAATGGCAAACCTCCGAGTGTATTTCTGCCATGAAAAACAGCTTCTCATAAAAATACAATCGACGTTCGGAGTTGGCGTAAAACTGCAGGTGAAAAAACCCGATGTTTAATACCTTGCCAAATATATCTTAATATAAGTTTTCGAAAAAAAAAAAAATGTTGATTCTCACAAAATAAACGATATCGTCATAAAGCAAAATATTTTAAAAATAGTTCTTGAAAAACGCCCATTTTTTTGAACTACGTTTTTTATAGAGAAATAAACAAGGATTACGATGGTATAATTTTAAATCCCTAATTTAATGGCCTTCACTATGCA